TATTTTTCTTTCTTAAAAGAGAAGCCCACCTTTGTCGTAGTGCAGCTTGTCCCGTTTCCCGTAGAACATAACACAAATCAAAGCATCTTTAGAAACTCTGTGCTTTAGCTTTCATTTTAGGTTCTGGAAACTTCTCAGATTAATTCGAGCACTTTGGGAGTTTGTTCTGATTTTGAAACGCCGGTAAAAGAAAAGTTTTGTGTTTTCCATCCAGAAGCCCCTGACTCGCAGCGGGATGGCGCCCCCTGCTGGCCGGAGGCCATCTTATATTCATGTTTATTATTTTTTTTCTCCTTTATTTTTGTTTGTTAAAACAGAAGCGTACCTTTGTCGTAGTGCAGCTCGTCCCGGTTCCCGTAGACCAGGTACGTCTCCAGGAAGCTGAGCAGGGCCCCGGTCACCAGGAGGCGCTCCGGGGGGGGGAGCCCCTTCAGGTATCGCGTGTCCAGGGCGAAGGGGTTGGAGGGGGGGGGCACGGTGCACAGAGACACCAGCTCGGCCACCACGTCCCAGACCCGGACCCCTGCCGGCAAAGGGGCGGAGTCAGGAGACAAACATTTTCAACTCGATACCGATACTTGATACAATTTTCGATACCACAAGGATTCAAAAAAGACCCCAACATTTAAATGAATTTTGACAGGCTAGTGTCTTTCATTTCAAACTGACCTGTTACTAATGATATCGTGGCTGGTGGCCTGCATTATTAACCCAAACCCTGACCCTAACCCTCCACCCTTCCTAATTGTGAGAAATAAATATTTTTTGGTTAAACTTATTGTTCAAACCTATTTAACAGCCACTATTATAACATAATAATATGTATAGAGTTTAATTAAGTGTTTGAAAGATTAATTTAATTATTTTTAATCTTTTAATCTCTATATTGCCATGAGGCAATTAGGATTTTCTTGCCTGGAATCTTCCTATTGTTAATGTAATTATAATGGCCGACTTCGATGTGGGCGGAGTCGGATATGTACTTGATTAATGGTAGCACGTTATTATTAGCCATTAGCCGCAGCTAGCAGTTCAAGGTTAACAACTTGTTAATGACCATAAACAACGTAAAAAAATACATAAATAAATCAAAGATAAGGGGGCTGTGGTATCGATACTTTTGAAAATGAGTATCGTATCCGGATACAACATTTTAGTATCGATACTTTTGAAAATGAGTATCGTATCCGGATACAACATTTTAGTATCGACACTTTTGAAAATGAGTATCGTATCCGGATACAACATTTTAGTATCGATACTTTTGAAAATGAGTATCGTATCCGGATACAACATTTTAGTATCGATACTTTTGAAAATGAGTATCGTATCCGGATACAACATT